ACAATCAGAAATTTGTTTTAATATGAAAATCAATATTCACACTAGATTCTGCGTGCTTTAGCTCCTAACTTGTCAATCTCTCAACTATGTATAACTATGAGGTTTTACTTGATCCAATAAAAGTTAAATACTCCAAAACCCCTGACAGATGTGAAGAAAATTATCGCTATGTCTGAAAGTAACTATGAAGTCAGATAAAGGTTTAAATAACCTCTATTTAAAAAGACATAAAGGGCATGTTCTTATGTTAGCAAAATCAATTACAGCTTATAGTGTCCAATTAAACAGGAACAGTCAAATTCAAACTTAAAAATGTGAACCAGTAGTCAAAGACTGCACAATTTAATTTTAATCTCAGCTGGATCAGTAAAAAATCGCAAAAAAACTCGTAACTCGTTGTAATGTCTCGTTGTCTTCATTTTAGAATTTTTGTATTTAATTAAAGATTTCTCTTATTCTAAAAAAACTAAATGCATTAAAAATGTAGAGGAAAAGGTCCTAATTTTATTTCTTTAGTAATATGAACATTCAGAATAAATATGAAATGATATATGGTAAGGGACTGTGTAACAGAATTTTTAGAATACAGTGAAACACCGAGCAACAAAATCTAGAAATGGCAAAATTCTAGAATTTAGAAAGGCACTAGGCAGCAGAATTTAGGATAGACAGAAGATTGCATCAGGTGGGAAAATGCATAGCACTAGTCATGTGTATCATGAACAGAGGTAGGGTTTTAAGCACCCGGGCACAGCTGAAGATTTAGTATGCCCTTCTGTAATGCCAAGAATGAAAAACAATTCATTCTAAAATTTTGTTACATCAATTTGGCCACCCATGGATGCTGTGCCCAGGGACAGATGTTCCCCCTTGTCCCACCCTAGCTACACCACTTATGATGCATTGAGATATATAAGATGAATCTTCAAAATTTTCAGTTTTCAATTTCTTTATTAATAGAAAAATTCCTTTCTATCAATGCCTGTCCACGTGATCAGATCAGAAGCATTTTTGATATTTTTCATGCTTGTGTCTAGTGAAAAGTAGAGAAAACAATGGGAAGATAAACATGTTAGGTTAGACTTCTAGTATCAGAAGTAAAACATTCAAACATTATGTTTCCATTGTTCTTCCAAAAATTCTGCAAAAAGAACAAGTTCATCACAAACTTTCTGTAAAATATATCCATTATATGTTTAATACCATGAAGACATTTTTCTGGAAACTTCTAGATTCAGGGGTCTATAAAACATGCCTTCAAATCCTTCTAAACTTTCCAAGTTGCAATGTCTAAAATCCTAAAGAAAAATTATCCCTACCAATTCTGTAACAGCAAAAAGTCAGAAATACGTCGAAAAAAATCACAGGAAAAAAAGGGTAAAATTAATTTTATAGAGAAAACTGATGCATATTGAGACAATTACACGGGAAAAACTCTTACCACGGAAAAATTTTAATGAAGGCATTTAGATTTAATTACACAGCTATTTTGCTTTTGCGAATAAATGTTTTGTAAATTGAGCTAAAGCGCAATTTAAGGATTTATTACCTTGTTATTTTTCAGATTTCAAATATTGTATAATAAGTTCCCAAAATGGAACGTATACTTACATATCACTTTATAATATGATAGCGAAAAAAAATGTTTCATTTTAATGTTATTTCTTGCATACAATTTCAACATATTAGCATTATTTTGATGAAATTGATCAATGTTACAATGTTTAAAAAAAAATACCATTGAAAAATTCCCAGATTTCCGAATTAAAAATTTTCTATAGAAACTGATCTTAAAATCTCGAAAATGTTGACAAGTTGCCAAATTTGGAACCATTTAATAAATTTACATTCCCAAAAGCGAAAAGTTGTTTAAAAGCTCTTCATAAAAAAAAAAAAAAAAAAAAAAAAAAAAAAAAAAAAATCGAAATGTTTATGTTTCTCTTCTTGCTCAGAAACTTGAGTATTCCAAACATTTATATTAGATAGGAACAAAATATAATCCATAAACCTATTCACCCATTCAAAAGATAACTATATTTGTCAATGAATCACCAAAAATATTTGTTCAAAATGCTAATTCACATTATAAATTGCAGTAGTAAAAACAGACAGAAATTTTAGGTGACTAAAATTAAGGACCCCTGTCGAATTAGGTCAAAATTAAGGACTTTTAAGGACCAAAATTGACTCCAAAAAACCTTAGGACTTTTAAGGACCATACAAACCTTGTGCTTAAAGCCTGGATATAACACTTCATTTGAATCCAAACTCCACTGAAACTCTGGTGGCTGAAAACCTGTTTCTAATGTTCCTAAATTTTTTGACGTGTAAAGCCATTGAGATGCCAGAACACTGAGCAACAAACACCGAGCAACATATTTTATGTTTGTAGATTTATTTTTTAATGTTTAGAATTTCCACATTTAGAAATACATGCCCATTGGCAGTACTGATTTTTTGTTCTATCTGTTTTCAAGATACCACTTTACTTTTAAATGGAAAACCAAGAAACCTCCACATTCATTAGATTTCTATGTCACATATTTTAAGTATGAAAATTATACAAGCCCTAAACAAATTGATTTACTAAATTCTGTGGCAATAATTGCTCATTCTGAAGTTTTGGTATCACATAAGTGTTTATATGTATGTATACACATGCATGCACACATTTCATTTCTACTACACTTCTCATTACAAACATATTTCACACTTGCAACAACCATATTATGCAACATATTACAATCACCAGACATTCAGATATAGCTTGGACAGTCGACACTCCATACCAACCTAATGTCTGTCATGTTGGTATGGAGTGCCACTATTGTACACGTTCTGCTCCTCCCTTGTTTATATAACCAGTAATGGGAACAGCTGTTGCTAAATTTCTGACATGATAAGATCCATGTCTGTGCCCTATCTACGAGGTCTACTTGATGCCATCTTTGAAAAGGATGATGCATGACTGCCCAGGCTGTCCTGGTAAGTTCCTTCTCCAGATCTCTTCCCATTAAGCCCATATGATCATGGGTTACAGAGAGACTAGCACACCATCATTTGTCATCCACTATGATTGATGAACTCTAACATAAAGTTCAAGATCCATGGAATGAAGTACCTGCATTTTTCATCCCAGCTTAGTTCAACTTGATGCCAAGCCAGATTAAGCTGTTACTGCCCTATATTTGTGTACTGAATTCTGCACACTGTATACCCCAAATTACCTGTGAATTTAACCACGTCTCTCTCCTATTATATTGTATATGTACAATAAATAAGATTCTGCTGTTTGCTTTTTGTTCTGGCATAGTAATTTTGATGGCCAGCAGTTTAGATAATAGATTATAGTATTGCATCAATACAAAAATACATGTACCACACCTATACATGCATTACACCTACATCGATATATAAACATATTCTTTATTCGATTTTGAGATGAAATGATCTCCTCCAACTGCAAATTCCATGGCCTTGGATTCTCATTCCTATAAATAGTAACTCTAAGTATGTGACTTCATACAGTAGGCAATATTGAAAACAAATACATCAATCGCTTTTAAAATTTCTACCCATTGCTTTAATTTACTGTTTACATTTATTATTAAAATAACCAATTTTAACATGAGCTAGCTTTAGTCTAAAAAATTAATATACATTTAAACTGTCAATAAAATTTTTTATTACATGAATGAAAGTTCACCATTTTATAATAGATGAATTAAAAATCTCTAGTTTTGCTTTCATTTAAAGTGGATAACTTTTGTTTCCTTTTTCTTCGTGTGTTACATTTTAGTGGGACAAGCTTTTAATTTTTTTTTTTGGCTAGTTAATTATAGCATACTATGAACGGAAATTTAAAAGTAATCACAAGAGTGCCTGAATGGTGATATCTGTGATCTTGACTGTGTTGGCATGTAAAGGGTCAAACCTTTCCTCCTTGCAATGCAGTAATTTCTGTGTTGCACATGCTTTATGCAATTCGTAAAGAATATGAAACTAGTTACAGCAGCATTCTTGGCTTAGAATTGAAAATGCAAATTTAAGGTGAATTCAACTGGATATTAAGCGGTATGCAGCAATGAAATATTATCAGGTATTTGCAGAAGCTTTTGAAAGTGACGAATTACTATGCAGTACATTAAAATTTTAAAGGATATGTTACACATGTTTAGAATTACTATGCACTGAGTTTCTCATGTGTTGACAGAGAAAAGGCTGGCTGTTAGGATCCAACTGGAATAGAATAATCAGATAAATTCCTATGAAATTTTATTGCTTTGAATGAAACATAAACATGCTCATATGAAGATCAATTCAAATGCAATTACAATAATTGACAGTATTATGACTCTGTGCATCTGAAAAAAAAAAAAAAAGAAAGAAAAAAGCATGCTGGAACTTACAAATGTTGAAATCATATTTGTGCATAACTGCTATGGTGTGATTCTTAGCCACCAAAGTTTCAAGAACAAACCATAAATGCTGTATACTAATACATTTCTTGTAATATACTTTAGGTAATACATACATTGTTAAACCAAATTAGTCTTAAATAATCATACAAAGAATCTAACTTCATGTTTACACATATATTTTTCAAAAAGAAAGCTATGCTCAACTTGATTACACTATTCATCAATGGAAGTTTTCATCTCATCTAATAAAAATCAGATTCATGTATTTCATCAAATATTACATGTATTTGAGTCTATTCTGATTAAACATTTGAAAATCAAATGGTAGAATTTGATTAAAATTACCACTGTATGAGAGATTAAATAAGTAAGAAATATAAGAGTTTTCCATTGGAAATAGAATCATTATTGCTAAACAAAAGAAAAGGACAGGTCCATTCATGAAATATTTGACAATTCATCATAAGAAACAAATAAAAATGTTAATACATTTGTTTCCAATCTTATTTGTCAAACTGTTATCAATGCACTTGGTCACAGAAATAGCATTAACTCAAACCCTACATAATTAATTAGTACCTGTTTTAAGTGATCTGCAGTTCTTTCCCACTGACGAATTTTATCATTTAAAGTCACAGTTGTTGTTTGAAGGTCTTCTCGGCAGCTATCACACATAGAAGAGAATGTTGGTTTTTCACAGACCGGACAACTTAATGTGGCAAAGTATTGTGAAATTGTTCCCCTCTGTTGATTAACAGGGCGTAACATTGGCAAAGTTGGTTTAAATGTTCGTGCAAGACTTGAATACCTAGATATATTAAAAACCTTAAATAACATATTATATACCAATAAATAAAGAGGTCATTAGATAAATCCATACAAATGTAATAAAAAAAGAGTTTTACTGGAAATTTTATTTCATTTCTCTACATAATCATACCTAAAGTAAATATACTTAGCCCAATAATTTTCCAGTTTTTTAACAACCTAAAACATGATTTAAACAAGTTTGAGCAGCAGATATTAGTTAAAATAATACATTCCTACTTTGAATTTCTTATCAGTAAATATTTCAAACAAATAACAGTCTGCAATGACCAAATCTAAAGGAGAGGAGGGGGGAATTAAGTTATAATTCCTATAATTTTATTTTTGGAAATGAATGATATGGAACATAACTTCGTATTTAAACAAAAAAAAAACAAAAAAAAAAAAAAAAAAAAAAAAAAAAAAAAAAAAAAAAAAAAAAAAAAACTTTTCCCCTTTTAAAAGATAATTTTTTCTGCTGGTAATACTGTTTTCAAATCATTTGGGACAGATTTACCGGCTTGAACTACTGTTTAACTGCTATTTCATTTAAGATGTGATTTAAATAAAACAAAATTTTCATTAGAAGCTAATCGACACTTCCTAAGCTGTCAATGAACATCAACTGTAACTATGCAAAATTCATTAGGATGTTTTTAAAATAGTTCTAAGTCATTTTTAAGCAACACACACATACTCCACATTTAAATTTTGTGCTGAGGAACATGAGACATATTTTAGGAGAAAAAGAAACGTATAAGTTCTCTGTTGACCACATTTGTTGTTTAGAAAATCCCATTTTTTAGCAGCTAAAATTATTCAAAAAACATCTTCTGTTGGCAAATCAAATTTTCTAGAGGTGTTTTGCATAGATAAAAATCTTTCAGTTCTAGATACTGATCCCAATTCCAATATGCCTTTATCCTCAGCTTTTAAGAAAATCATTTCATAGTTGTCTGCCTTTTTCATCAATAAATGGCACCACCAATAGCTTGATTTATTTTCTCTCAATGTTTGTCTGAGCACAGGCTTCTCTTTCTTCATCTGCACTTCTGGAGCACAAGCTCTTCTTTCTTCACCTGCACTTCTGCAGCTGAAGCAGCAGATTCTATGTTTAAACCTTTGATACTAGTCTTGCAAATTTACAAATAATACAGTGATTCTTATTGCCTTAGCACCTCCAATAATCATCAATAATCATTATTCGACATGCTATTTTAACTCAACATTAGTGGATGTTCTTATGTCCCCCCTGAAGCAAGGAAAAGGGGAAAAAGAATTCTGCCGAACATGAGGGACATGTGTCTGATCACCCTCAAAATCAATATAGTTATTCCAAATCTATGCTAAATTAAGGTTGCTTTTTTTTCGAATTAATTTTAAATGGCTGATTAAAACCAAACCAAGCTGTTTAGTGACTTAATCCTTTACTTGGCGACATTTCTCTGTTACTTGCCAATTTTTATAATCTATTTTGACCTTACTTGCTGAACTGAAGTTAAAAAAAATTCTTTAATATTTAGATCATATTAGCCAATTTGTTGATCCCAATAAGTGCACTATTTTTGTTTTCATTTACAAATGAATGAAATCTTGACAATTTGATAATATTCGATAGATATTATTAATTGCAAATACATATAGTGGTGTTTATTTTCTATTAAAGGAATAAAGAACAAAATTTAATATTTTGAATTTAAGACAAACCACTCTGGCTAATTTTAATATAAATGATATTGCTATGAAAGTACATTTTTTACATTACGTTCACTTTAAGATAATCAATATAAAAACATTCTTATAAATAACATATTCTAGCTAAACAAAGCTTAAGAAATATTAGTTTTGAAAAGACTGAAATATGAAAAAAGAGAAGCAAATGAATGCACTACAGCTGTTGATTAAAAAAAAAATGAAATTAAAACATCAAAAACAATCAGATCAAGTGTGGCAAACTAGTTTATTGTAGTGAATAAAAATTAATCGCAAACATATATTTGCTACATTTAACACACTAAAACCCCCCTGAGCTAATTAATGAGACCAGGTATAAAATAAAAAACAAAGATTATTAAATCTCATTAATTTTACAATTGTACTTACCTAAATTAAAGGATCATATTATTCTTATGATAGTCTATAAAAATATTATATGAAAGCCAAACTACCGGCCACATTTAAGAGTTAGCCCGCATATAAAGTTCAAGCTCAAATAAGCCTTTCTTGGGGGGGGGGATATTGAATGATAAAAGGTGTACGAATGTTAAAGACTGATTCCTTGATAAATAAGTTTTTGTACAGCACACAAAGCTATCTGCTGTAGGAAGGGTGCTTTCATGAAAGATTCTAAGCAAACAGTTTCATATTCAAGTTACACATGGAAAATGTTCAAATATCATATGCAGCCAACCTATTTACCATAAACCATAAGCAGCCGGTATTACTTACTCTACTGCTTGTGGGCAATGAATGTTAATGACAAAACAAAAACGTAAACTTAATATTTAGTAGCTAGGAAGTGAAATGTCTGGAGTCGGGAATATCTTTTGAAATGAAAGTTGCTGGATTATTTGTTGACCTAATATTAAGGATGGGAGGGGAAAAAAAATGAAAAAGCATTAGAATCTACTGCATCAGTTATGGAAACACATTTGGATAATTTTAAGACTTGAGTGAAATTTTCCTTATGTCCAATTTTCATTCCATTTCTATACATGTCATGATCTATATAAAATTATTAGTGTAAATTAACACTTGTTACGTATTTTGAGGTGTTAATAAATTAATTAAGATAGCAAATTATTGCAAACATCATACAACAAAACCTAGCTTGCATTAATTAAGTTATTTTCTGTTATAGATTGGCACATGGTAGATAATTTTCTGCAGAAAGATGTATGGGCTTAGTCATTGGTAAATTAATTGCATTGTTTTTATCTCTGATAGCAAATATTGTTTTCAAAGTAAGTATTTTCAATAAAAAAGCTTTTTCAACATAGGTCTTTCTGCTTCATTCTTTGTTTATTATTATTAAGCTGTATATATTTCTTATATTTAGAAAAAAATTATGATGGTTGATATGCAACAACCATATTTGATTTGAAGTTTTTTTCTGGAAAATAAGAAACAAAATATTTTTTTTTTCATTTTTGAATGTGTGTCATATGCTTTGCGTTATGAACATCTGTATCAACTTACTATATACAGGCATATAAATAATGAACCAATAACAACTGGTGGAAGTTTTAGTGATTTTATATAAATAAAAGAGAAAACTGACAATAGTTCAATAAATGAGATTTTATTATAAGTTAGAAAGGATGGTCTTGGATAGTTCGAGATCATGAGAATTATTATGTGCCAATATGGCTGGATTGTACAAAGGTGTGCAAGCCTTAATTTGGAAAAGAAGTGATCAAGCTAAATATATTCCTTGTTTGGCTCATGATTTAAATTTAGTATACAAAAAAGCTAGTTCTAGAAATTTAAGCATGCTAATATTTTTTGAAACTATAGAAGATCTGCAAATTTTTTCTGTGTTATGAGTTGATTCGATAGGCATCAAAAGCAAATTCTGTTCAAGATTCAGATCTACAGATAACCAAAAAACATCAGTTATTAAAACATATGGCAGCAAATGACAAATCATTGCACTGGTGTGAATAACAGCATTTTGAAGCAAATCAATTAAAATTTGTAATGCACATTATCCACGCAGAATTTGAGTGAATTTTTGTGAATGCAATTAACAGAAAAAGTACATAAAAGCCCTTGTCCCTAACTGTAACTGTATACAAAGCTGTATGCTTAATAGAGGGATTATATATTTATTTAATATTTCTGAAAATAATTTTCTGAAATGCAAAAATTTAGCTTTAGAAATAAATAACTCAACAGAATTTGAATGGGAACTAAAAAGAAAGGTTAATAAATTACACTGCCAAGAATGAATTAATAAGGAAAATTCATGTAACTGAATCAGGGATTTGTCAGGGATAATCAATCTGTGAATTTGAAAATTTTCAGATATCACTAGTAAAAAGCAAAATCTGAGATTAATGTAGTATGTGAAGAAAAATTGAAGGTGATATAATCAGACTTCTATTGCAATGACAATGCCCCAATCAATGGAATGACAAAAGCTGTACTATGGTTTTAAATAAATTTTGGTTTCAAATTACATTTTAATTTCACATTGTGGTTAGTCAAACATAATCTTTAAGTAGAAAATCTCTTTCTTAAAGAGCTATGATAGATACACTTGTTCATTTTCTGGCAAATAGAAAACAGAGAAAATTCATTTCAGTAAAGAAAAAAATTAACTATAATCAGAAAAAAAAAAAAAAAAAAAAAATTAGTCAGGAAAGAGACCATGAAAGACTGGTTACATATGACATCAAGGGAATATGTAAAAACAAAAAGCACCTAGTGATATGGCTTTAAGGGAAAAGCACTGAAAAATTTTCCATTTAAGGGACTATGTGTAAAAATGCAAATGAATGCTAAATGAAGCTACTATAACTCAAGTCAATCAATTAATGGACAGGTAAATGATAGTATGGGTTTAAATACAGAATTTTGACTATTTTCTATGCCATTCATAGAGAAGAGAAACTCACAAAGAGGTTTTAGAAAATGAGAAGATTTCAGTTGTTTTAGTGGGAATTTTGGATGCAGCATTTACAAGTGCTGAACAGTAGATGTTAGTAACTGAACAAAAAATATAGCCTCTCTATAAAATTATAGAGAAAGTACTACCATAAAAAATTAAATTGTTTACACAACTTACGTTGAAAGAAATGTTCCATAAAATAAACTTGGACGCAAAGTGTCTTTTGTAAACTTTGGTTCCCTTGAGGTGATAAAAATGCTTCACTATTCCAATATAAGCATTTTATATTTTTAATTTTAATTATTTTTACATGTCACATGTATAATTCATTTTAGATGATTAATTTGATCTAAAATATGGAATTTTTCAAAATCCAGATTTGCCAACATCCTGATGATTTCAGATCTTGGGTTTTGTACTGTATATATTTTTTAAAATGTGAAGGAAAATACAATGACGAGCCAACACATTATGACCATCCGCAAATTTTTCAAATGAATTCATCTGAATGACATGGAGGGCACGTGATTAAATAAGAATGGTATTTAACTGCTGCTGGAGAAGGTATATATGGGATATATGGTCACTTTACTTAACTTGTTCTGCCAAACTAAGTTAATGGCACTACAGGGTTAGGAAGTCATCCTAGTCATTGCTAGCAATCTGACGGTTAGGCCACCTTTCTACATTTTACATTAATCTGTAGTTTCTTGGATATAATTATTTTCATTCACTTGCTTCATTATCTCTAAGGCAAAAGTAAGTACAAGGAATTATTCTTGTACTTACTTTTGCAGTTGACAGGAAAGGCTGCTGATCTAAGCAAATTTGATAGAGGGCAGGATTATAATGGCCTGAAGCTTTCGAGTACCTCTGAAAATGGTTCACGAGTTTGTTCACAATCTGCTGCTGTTAATATTTATGTAAAGTGGGTAAATTATGGAGAAATCAGCAATAGATGGCAATGTGTTGGACACCATCAAAGAAAAAAGACATCAATGACTGTCCTGCTTGGTACAACAAAATCGGCACCAGACAGTGGCTCAGCTGACAACTCAATATAATGCAGGTCCAAGTGCTAGTGTTCAGTACCAGATTTAAATTGATGATCTATAATTTGGAAAAACCCCCAATCTGGAATCGCCGAAGTCCCGACGAGTCCGGATAATGGACTTTGTGCTGTACCAAACTCAATTAACACTGAGGAGCTAAAATTCTGAGATCTAATTTTTTAAAAACTACTTGCATGATTTTTACAAAACTTAGCAGTTTGGCACAATTTGAGTCGTAGAATTGAAATATGGAAAAAAAAAAATTGGCATGTCATTTTGGAAAAAGTCCAATTTTGTGTCAAAATACCTATATTAGAACAATGCTATATATAAATCTAATACATATCCTAAGTCCTGCTTTCGAGACATGAAAAACGCAAGTTGAATTTTGTCAATCGGCTCAGAATGGGAGATTAACTGTCCCCCCTTTTTTTGCACAGTGTGCATTTCATAAAAAGAAGTGTTTGCATTGAAGTATTAAAGTTCAGGATTTATTTATATTCTAATTGATGATTTCTGATACTTTCCTTTATAATATTGCATATTGTATAGTTATCAACAAGAGTTTTTAGGCATTTTTCATTCAAAAAAAGTTTGCCTTTGTTTTTTGTAACTACCTACATATTTTACAAATATTTAGGTAGAACATACTTGCACGCACGCGCGCACACACACACACACGCACACGCACACCACACACACACAAAAAAAAAAAAAAAAAAAAAAAAAAAAAAAAAGGGGGGGGGGGTTACATTTTAACCTTAAATTTAGTTTATAATCCCTATCACAGCTTTTATTCATTCTAATGTTGCTTTTAAATTTAAGAATATTTTTATAGTGCATACTTTTTTGGAGAGTTGTTTCAGCTAAATTTACATGGACAAGCAAAATCTATGATATAAGCAAATTAAAAAAACTAGTTAGTGTGCTGGAGTAAACAGAATAGTACCATTACTTCACCTATCAGTAAAAACTATCCAATTAAAAAACTAAACAGAGTACTATTACATCTTAAAATACTTACCATGATTTGACATCAGTATCAATTAGGGAAAATACTCTTTCCAAAGGTGGTGATATCACACGGGTAATGTAGTATGTAGCATTAATACGAAGACTAATGTCATTCAAAAGATCAATGGGTTCATGAACTAACTGAATAATGGGTAATCCTGGGAAACCATAAACAACTACATAAGGCACTCTTTCTCCAACCCGAGGTTCTGATCTTGGATCCCTTGACAGCCGTTTCCTATAAACGATTTAATAAATAAGACTTTACAAAAGTAAGAATTTTATTAATAGGAATAACATGAAATATCTAAAGTATAAATAAAACATAAAACTGGCAGCTTATTAAAATTTGAAATTAAAATCTAAATCTTTATATATCCAGATAGAGAAAATTAGCAACATATTTCAGTCACAGAAAATATTACAATACATCCATTTCACAAATATATATTTGCCAAGTAAGGTTATGTTTTATAAACTTTTGTCTAAAAATATACTGCAAGAAAACTTTTATCAAGCACAGTTAATTTGCATATTTGCCACCCAATTTAAAATTATATCACTTCTCAGCAGGAAATATGTCCACTTAGAACTGTCATGCACCAATCACAAAGTCATGGTATGCTGACTGGCAAGTGAATTAGAAGAGCCTAAAGCAGATTTTGCTATCCTCCTTTAGAAGTACGTTTTGTCTGTTGTCTGGCAAAGGAAAGTGAGCAGCAGTTTGTTTTCCCATAACGTCTTATGTATGCTAAAATGGCTTTGTGAAAAAAATGAACACTGCATTCAATAATGTTTTGCAATACTTTGCATGCCCTTTTAAATTATACATGTTTTTTGCTGCATTTCATTTAAACTTATTTTCTTGAATTTCACTAGAAATATATTTCTCATTCAATTAATTCAGTTCTCACTACCCGGCAAAACAAAAAATACATAAAAACATAAACACCAAATAGAGTGAAAGAAATAGAGTTTGTATGCAAAAACAAGCAATTTGGTCAGCAGGCAAGAAGGCAGATTTTTTGGTGCAGAAAACTGAAAGTTTACTTTTGGTCCTACTTGGCAAAAATACACTGAAAGTGCAGAAACTGACTTAATTCACTATTCTACTGAGTTTCAAATGTAAACAGATGGCGATTCGTTAGGCTTAACTCACCATTTAAACTTTTAAATTGTAGATATTTCTACAACTATTTCATACAGTTTAACTAAAAGCATAACATCTTTAATGAAACATAAAAATTACAAAATTCAATCACTTTTAAAGCAAAAAATGCACAATTAACGAACATATAAGAATAGAAAACTAAGCTCACCAAGCCCGATAACAGAGTGGTAATACACAACTGGTGCAGATGATTGCAGCCAAAAAAAGAGGCGAATAACTACATGTTATAGCAGTCCCATATACAAAATTTCAACATTCTATGGATACTCATTCTTGATTTTTGTGAGATGGATACATACATATGTTAGTACAGACATCAAGAAAATATTCTCTCCAGAATCCATTTAAAAAAAAAATCAGTCTTTTATTCTTTCTGTATGTATACATATGTCTCACAAAAACATTGCACAAATGGTTTTGAGAGTGGTTGAAATGGATATTTTCATTGAAATATGATAACTGAAATATTTTGCGATTTTCATACTTCCTTTTCTTCGTACAAGGAAGTAAAAATCAGTTTACAATAAGTCTAGAGAACATGGCTGGTAATTTATCACTGCAATTAAATGCTTAGAAAAAAACTGCTGCACAGACAATGCTGTATGGGGCCCCGCATTATCATGTACAAGAAACCACTGTTCAGAATCCAAAAGTTCCTTGCTAACTCACCTAATTCTGTTTCTTATTCAAAAAAGCAACTATTTATAAAAATACTAATTAATTTAGTGATTTCCAGGGACATATCCATGGTAAATAAGTCCTTTGCAATAAAAAAAGGCAATTAACATCACATTCGTCTTTGATTTTGACATTCATGTTGTTTTTTATATGGAAGAATAGAGTCCATTCCACAGTGCACTTTGTCGCTTTGTTTCTGGGTCGTACTATAGACACCAGCTTTAATCTCCCATAATGACACATTTTAAAAAATTGTTGTCCTGTTTTGCAGTATTCAGCATATCTTCACAGCCAGCATATCTGTCTTCAATCGCTATTTTATCAAAATAAGAGGCACAGATCATGCACAAACTATCCTCATTTTTAGATAATTAGAATTAACCTACAGTTTTCTTTGCTTATCCCAAGCATTGTTAAAATTTGCCAAGTTATAATATGTCTATCTGCTTTTAACAAAACACAAATTTTCTCTTCATTCTTTGAAGCTGAAGGGCACCCTATTTTTGCTTATCTTCTATGCTTTTGAGCCCATATTTACAGTTAACCATTCATACATTGGTGTTCTTAATAACAATGCATCACTCTATACTGTGTGAATTATCTCTGACATTTTGGTAGCAGATTTACCTAATTTGTAAACGAAATTCAATATTATAACATGAGATGGAACATGTCAAAGCAAAGTTATCTCAGTAAAAGAAAATGGAGTTTTGATATGCAAATGGCAAAATAATCAATTTAAAATGGCTTTAACAAGAACTGAGATGTCACTCTTTCTAAACAAACATTTATTCTTTCATTTTTTTAAGAATTTTATTGCTTGATCTTTTGATTTGGTTATTCTATGGGTGCACTAACGTTTGGAACTAATTTAACCCAATAACTGCCAAATCTACAAGGAATGTTTCTATTCTCATGAAAATAAAAACAAATATTAAATTAAGCATTTATAACATAAATTTACATTGAAAAAAAAAAAAAAAATGCTCTTACCTGTGGAAAACGCGAGTGTAGCGTTCGCGCAACGTCAGCGGAATAAGACTACGGAAGTTTAGAGAGTAGGATTGTACTCGTGTGATGTTTCTTTTGAGTGGAGCACAGAATTACTTTTTAGGTGTATAACGTTTTATAAGTCTACAAATCACTTTACTTGTAATTAATTTAATATTAAAATACACATTGTATTTCTTTTACAAATACAGATTATTTCAATTGAAAGATTCAAGTCTGAAAAGCTTGATTACAATCATGATGTAAAGCTACATTACATACTTTGCATCTATAAACAGTCTGGCTATGGTACTCTTTACAACAAAGTCTTTTGTTATCAACAGACTTTACGATAAAATGTCTACCATCTCCATGCAATGGTTTTTGAATGTTGAAACTTCCTGTTGCTGATCTATTTCTGGATAATTCTACACTCTCAATAGGAGTTTGCAAAAGGAATAATGCATTCTCGCATCTGAAATCTAAAAGAGACTTTATATTTCCAGTAGTAAAAAGTGGTGATATTTAGTAAGTTTAGATACTGTCTCACCTCATATAATTTATCAGTATTGTCAATTTGACTATTGTCAAAATGCAAATTCTGCTTCATATTCCTGTACTGCAAACGTGATATCGATTCTCGTACAACAGAAACAGAAATGTCCTTATCAAAAGACAAATACATTTTTTCTTGAGGTATAGAATAATATCCTGTAAGCAATAATATTCCAATAAATCTTCTCATATAGGCTTCAGATGCAATAAATTCTGGGCCTTTTTTTTTTCTTTTTTTTGCTGAGCGTATATATTTGTCTGTTCATCGAGAAGAGAGTAAATGTCTAAACCAAAACGAAAATCGAAAATCTGTGCACTAGTTTTACCTTGTATTTTGTCTTTTATAATTTCTCTTCTATTTCTTTCTTCATGTTCTTCCTGAGACATAACTAACAGTTCCTTTTTTATCCACTTCAAGATTTCAATCTTCTGCTTTTTAACTTTTTAGTATGACTATAACTGCTTTTAGAAGGCTGAAACTTACGTAAATTTCAACTTTCCCAGCAGTATGATTTGGTAAAATATCATTATCATTATTTAAAACATTGCCATTCCTTTCTTCTTCGTCACTAGTTTCTGCAATTTCTGGAGGAACAATAACAATATCAGTTTCATTCTGGTCATTATTAACATTATCATCATCTGTTTCTTCATCAAAAAATCTTTGAAGGGCTTCTTCTAATGTAAGATACCTTGTTCTAGGCATTTTGAAACAACCAGAACATTGAACCAGAACATCGAAAGAATGAGTGAAAAAGGAGGATTGACTACCCGTTTTCTGCTGACGTTGCGTCAGCGCAACACCTGTTTTCCCTTGCTTCCTCAACACAAATATAAACATCTGACTGATATAATGTTCTGATAAATGGTGACCTTGACTAAAAATCGATCACTTATAAAGACGGATTCGATTCTTTCGTTAAATGTTTTCAGCAAAAATAGCCTGGTCGAAAATTTTGCTTAAAGTATGAGATTAATTATTATAACACAAAATGATTGTTGAAGGCAAATAATTTTTTTTTACAGAAATAATCTTCATAATATTCCCTACACAAAATCATCTGCTGGTCTAAAATATCTTAGGTAGCTATATTTATATACATATTTATTTTGACCGTTGCATCAACGCAACACTAGCGGCTAATGGGTTAATATAATTTTATACTTCATAACTTGATCACTTAAAAGCTGCCGAACACCATCGATTCTTAGATTTGATTCCTGATGAAAAGGATGACTGAATGAGTTTTCCATGGAATTCTCCACAAAGAGATGAGCTACTACAAAGGAAAGAATTAGAGCCACTCCTTTAGAAAATCCACTATTCACATTCCTTCTTTTAGGCAGTCAGTCTTGCATTTTGCAACATTCAATTAAACTAAAGAATATATGTTAATTAACTACTTATTACAATTTCATTCTTTACTAAAACATCCTCTGTGCTCCTTACCAGAATGCAAATTAATTGTAAGTATTTAAGCTTAGATTTTTGGAATTTATAAGAGTGTTTCTGGCATTTGTGTGCTACATGGTTAGTTCCTGCTAGCTCTAACAGTTATAATTATTTGGCTCTGCAGTCCTCTCAGACCCATAATTTAATTCTGATATTCCAGTACAATTATTAAGCCAGTTTCCAATTTAATATTTAATTATGTAGTCTTTGACTACTGTTCAAGATTTAATTTGACTGTTCTGTTTATTTGCATCACCACAAATTGTGGTTATTGTAGCACAAAAGCATGCCCTTACATTTCGAGTTCTGTCTAAATAAAAAGTTGTTATGACCTTCTTAAGATTTTGTTGTTTATCTCAGACATAGCGATAACTCACTTCATATATGTTAG